TACAAACAAGCTGCCAGTTTTCCTCGACAGTCAGAATAGCAAATATCATACAAGACTTCAATAACCACCATGTGTTGGACTGAGATATATAGTGCATATTTCACAATTTTAGTTGGATAATAATGATATAAAAATATAAATCTTATTGGATAACATGAAAGGTAAGAATTGATTATTGTAATTTTTTTTTTTTTATAAACATTAGTTTAACCAGACAATTATTAATTAGTAATTAGTGAATTTGTGTATAGCTCACCATTCACAATTTTAGTTGTATAATTATAGTGATATAAAAAATAAAAATCTTATTGGATAAGAGGTAAAACATGGAAATAAAACCCTAATTAGTTTCAAACTATTTTTATTTTTTTTTTACTGCAACCCACAGCAAGAACCACATTTTGCATTACGACCCATTATACCTATGTGTAATAAATCAAAGAAAAACTGTTTTCTAGGTTCATTTTATCATTGACAATTTATATGTATATTTCTTATAATCCACACACATCAGAAGTGCATGTATCTATTTGTATGAATATAAATTTATTACTTTTAGAAAAACAAATTTAAGGGAAATTCAGACACAAAAGTAAAGTAAATAATATTTAAAAAAAATAAGTCACTTAATGAGATGGATGCGCTTGTTTGTTCATAAGCAGCTGATTCCAGTTGGAACACTGGAAGACAATGCTACATGCATATCAAGTACAGTGTTGAGCCTGTTTCTGTCCTTTGCCTGAAAATCCCAGTTCATGTAAGTAAATACTTGTAAAAGGCAATAGTAATAAAATAGCCTTTTTACTGAGTAGTGGAAATTCCCCTTTGTTCTTAACCCCAAATCAGCACAAATTTCTCAAAAACATTCTAACGTGTGAAGGAACAACTAAGATGCAGCAATCCAGCTTCTTCAAGCAACAAACTTAACTCAATTATTTATTCAGGACTTTGAAAAGCAAATGGATATTTTTATCCAAAGGCTTTTCTTCACCGATTCAAATTTCTCCTCAGGGAAATAGTTATTAAAGCTTTGAGATATGAAAGTGAGATGTCACTCTTAATATTTCATTGTTGACAATATTCTCAGCAATGTGTTGAAACAATGTTGGAAACATGTAATAGATAGGAAGATAAGTTTTCCTTGCCATAGACTCAATATTTTCTGAAACCCTTCAATATATTCATTTTCCTTGACGTTTCATGCTTAAATCATTAAGAATAATCAAAAATATCAGTTAAGTAAGCCAGCTTGGTAATCCAAATATCATCCTCAAAAAGTTGTTCCAAAGGATTATTTCTTTCTACCAAAACCATATGAAGCTCAGTTCTAAATTCATACACCCTGCTAAGTACTTTGCCTCATGACAACCAATGAAGTTCTGAGTTATACAGTAAGTGTACTGAGCTCCAATCTATGAACAGAATATTTCAATATCTGTCTATATTTCTGAGATGAGGTATTATGTACATTATTCAGACTTGTCCTCATCTTTGTCGCCATATTTATTATGTTTCAGCCATTGTACGCACCGGCCTTCTTCAGGCGGTTGGAATGTCGAACTTAACACTTTATTTCACTCACTGGGGTAAACTGTTCTAGTTCCACGTGCCATGTTTAATAGATGTCAGTTATCAGTTATCTCCTGTTAATTTCCCTCTGAAAGTTCTCCACTGCCTTAACCGAGTATCAAACTCACACTCTTTGGGTCCTGTCACTGGATCTAACCAACGCCTTTATCCACTGTGCCATGTGTTCAACATTCCAACCACCTGAAGAAGGCCGGAGTGTACTATAGCCGAAACGTAATAAATATGGCGAAAAAGATAAGGACAATAGCTTGAATAATGTAAATACTGTACAAAATATTTCAAATATTCTACTATTTAGTGAGCTTCCTTTGATGAAATTTACAATCTTAACTGCACTTTTCAATACTTCCATAAGATTCTCCTAAAGTCCTTTTAATACCAGAGCTTGTTGTATAAAACAGTGATTCCAAATTGTATTGTTATCAGCTGCATCCAAAAATCATTTAATACCACCGCAATTTTTCCAGTCATATTTGCTGCCCCATCACTTGTAATCCCTTTGCAGTTTCTTTTAAGTTTAATTCAAACCACCCAACAAAACACACTTCTAATGCAGTAAATATATCTGCATGAGTTGTATAAGATGTCAAATTTCAACAGCATAGAAAGACTTCCAATATAGCATTTTGATACACTTATCTGAGAAACTAAGAGTGTTGCACATTTTCCAATATCAGTACTTTTGTCTAGTTGTATTGCAAAATCTATACCAGATTGCAGTCTTGCAATAGACATTTTTTTCTAAATGCTCTGCAATTGTACAAATTCTGTATGATATTGCAATGTCCCTGATAGGTAGTAATAATTTTTCTGATCAAGCATAGTACGCACAATACCCAAACATGAAGGAAGAATATCCTTTTGTGTACACGGCATGCCCTGATTTTGATGCAACTGAATTATTCAACAATTTTAATGACTTTCACCAACCACAAAGATGAACATGCCGCACACCTTCATAGCTAAGTTTTGGCACAAGGTCTCTTTGTGAGAGAAAGCTGATGTCACTCAGTCCACAATAAGTTTGATGAACAAGATGCATAAACTCAATGAGAAGATATTATTTATGCAGTCATTCATATATATATATATATCGCCAATAATCGCATTGATACTTCTGATTAATTCTATGTGTAATTATTCTTTGTATGTAAATCATTTGCTGCCTAATGTTTTATGTTTATTAAAAACTATCGATCCACAGTACATAAAAAAATTCCTATAAAAAAAATTACTACTATGACATTACACTATATTATTGAACTATATACTTAGTTCATGACATAAAAACTGAATACACTTGTAAAAATAGAATATGTGGATTTAACACATCACAAGAAATATTTAAATAAAATTCTCACTTAAAAATTTTGAAAAACTTAGCATTGCGTCTTTGCACGTTCCGATATCTTACAACCGTCAATAATAGCAGATATTCAAAAAAACATGTTTGATCGACATACAGGTATATCGTCTCAAGTTTTTTGATTTTATAAGGAAAAAAAACATGCCTGATGATGGATGGAAGACTGTCCGTAAGTATTAGCATTTTAACATCAAATAAACTGAAAAACTACAGACAACAAGTTTTTCTTCAAGGAACAAAACTCGCACTATGGATGAACAGGATTTTAATGCATATATTATGTTTTCTAGCGATGGATGTCGCCAATAATCGCATTGATACTTCTGATTAATTCTATGTGTGATTATTCTTTTTGTTGTGTGTGTGTATATATATATATATATATATATATATATATATATATATATATATATATATCACACACACAGCACGATGGATAAATTGTCGTCTAAATTATGCAAAAATGAAATTAACAGTGATATCTCATTTTAACAGATATATTTAACAAAATTACACAAAAATATCTTCAAAAGATAGAGTAAATTTATTCATTAAAATTGCCATTGGCTTTAACCACAGACTCCTGACGATTTTTGAATATTCTGCAACTCTTTAGGACAGCCTCCTTGTTTAAGTTGGTGAATGCTGCTATAATTCTTGCCTTCAGCTCATCTTTGGTCTTATAACTTTTGTTTGTCTCTTTCTCAACTGCACCCCACACATAATAATCAAGGGGCTTGCAATCTGGGAAGTTAGGTGGCCAGATATAAGGGGTGATGTGGTCACAGAAATTGCCTGACACCCATGACTGGGTTCTCCTGCTTGTGTGGCATGGTACAGAGTCCTGTTGCCAGACATAGGGTCTTCCAGCAGCCACCTTCTTGACCCAGGGCAGCACTACCTCCTCAATGCAATTGATGTAGGCCTCCGTGTACAGTAAGACCCTCACCAACAAATTCGAGAGTTCTTATCAAAACAATCAAAGTGAGTTTTCTGAGCTGTTGTACCTTTGTAATCACCATTAGACCCATCCAACTCTTTCTGAATCCTTTGCACGGTCCTCAGATTGACAACCAACTGACCCTACTATACTGCACAATTGACAAAATAAAAAACAAACAATGCATGAAATAAAAAATATGAAAATGGCAACAATTTACCCATTGCACACTGGAGATATATATATATATATATATATATATATATATATATATATATATATATATATATATATATATATATATATATATATAAAATATGAGCCTACCTCAGTGAAAAATTTTTTTTTTTTGCAATCCACTTTAACTCATGGTTGAAGGGTTGGGGCCAACAGTTTGTAAAGAGGTGAAAGAGAAAGGAAAAAGAAAAGAGAAAGGAAAAGTGAAAGAGAAAGGAAAAGTGAAAGAGAAAGGAAAAGGAAAGAAAAGGAAAAAAAGAAAAAGGAAAGAGAAAGAGAAAGGAAAAGGAAAGAGAAAGGAAAAGTGAAAGAGAAAGGAAAAGTGAAAGAGAAAGGAAAAGAAAAGAGAAAGGAAAAAGTGAAAGAAAGGAAAAGTGAAAGAGAAAGGAAAAAAGTGAAAGAGAAAGGAAAAGTGAAAGAAAAGGAAAAGTGAAAGAGAAAGGAAAAGTGAAAGAAAAGGAAAAGTGAAAGAGAAAGGAAAAGTGAAAGAGAAAGGAAAAAGTGAAAGAGAAAGGAAAAGGAAAAGAAAGGAAAAGTGAAAGAAAAGGAAAAGTGAAAGAGAAAGGAAAAAGTGAAAGAGAAAGGAAAAGTGAAAGAGAAAGGAAAAAGAAAGAGAAAGGAAAAGGAAAGTGAAAGAAAAGGAAAAGTGAAAGAGAAAGGAAAAAGTGAAAGAGAAAGGAAAAAGTGAAAGAGAAAGGAAAAAGTGAAAGAGAAAGGAAAAAGTGAAAGAGAAAGGAAAAAGTGAAAGAGAAAGGAAAAAGTGAAAGAGAAAGGAAAAAGTGAAAGAGAAAGGAAAAAGTGAAAGAGGATAGAACTTGCCTATTTTCATTTTTGCTAAAATAAAATTTGAACATTATAAATACTTACCTCACAAGGATTTTTAAAGTTTTTATTCAAGATGGCACCTCTATCATTGTCTGCAAGGAACAAAAGAAGGCTGAATAAGAGGTTGTCAAATCTGCAGTCTTTGAAAAGAAATACTGCCTATAATCACATGAAGACTTCTTAGATTTCATGAGATGTTGACACCTATAACAACATCTCTCTTTGCTGTGAAGCAAGAAACTGCATAGAGTTTTCATCTTTATTGTGCATCACTACTTGTATGCTTAGTTGATGATTGACTATAGCATAGCCATTATTTAAAATACTAGACAGAGCACTGGAAAATCAGATGTTTGAAATAATTAGTGCCTATGCTAGGCTATGAAGGCTTCCTGACTAAGTACAACATAAAAATACAAAGCTTCCTTAGTAAGTAGAAACAAATAAAATATATGAGAGAAATGACAGCAAGGCTTCAACAACAGCAGCAGTAAGAAGAGAAGACTAAATAAATGCAATAAAGTATGACAAGCAGTAACAGCAATGTCAGCAGCAGGTAGAGTAGTTTTAAGACTCCAAGTTCTAGACTCAGGATTGAAAATAGACTAGTGGATTAAAGCAGTTTGTGAATTTGATGATATAGTAATTGTGAGTTCAATCTCTGGGTCAGATTTAAATTCAGTGGAAACATGATGAGTACTAACTGAGCAGTACTAAATAAGAAAAACATGAAATATTCATAGACATGGATAGTGGACTGAAAACAATCTTCTCCCTTAGATTAAGGGTTCAGTTTTAAATTCCCTGAAATTTACCTGGATTGACAATCAGGCAGGTAGGCACAATGACCAAAACATTGAGGACAATAGCAGGCAACTCAAACTTTGGTAGTGAGACTGGAGTGACCTTTTCAGGGTGCAAGCCTTAGTGATGGTATATAGAGGCTTTGCACTGTCCAAACTATATACCCCTCCCCCCTCATCTTTGCAGTACCAACAAAGTTTAAAGAAATATAGGGTATTTCATTTGAGGTGAGCTTGGCTGCAGGAGTTGCCAGAAAGTTGTCAGTATTGACAGCCAATTCTCTTCCACAGCATTTGGATATGGCAGCAATGTGCAACAGAAGTTTAAAATCTGTATTTTCCTTCAACTAGATGGATTACCCAAGACAATAACCCAAGTGTAAATAATGATTCCAGAAATCATCTTTCCCTTCATCCCAGAAATTTGGACAGAAACTAGCATGGCTACATTTAACAAGCTTGTCTCACAGATCATTGCTATAGAGCAGTGGTTCCCAAGCGTTGCAGCATGCTTCATAGGTGTGGCGGAAGAGGATAGCAGATGCGGTGGGATGATTGAAAAACAATAAAAAACTTAGAAATTGTTTCCAAAAAATTCATATGCCAAAAATAAATATGATTTCCAAATTTAAAATATGGATTATATGTAATTGCATGCATGAGTCCCAGTATAAATAGTCATAAATAATTGACAGATTTTATCAGTGATATTTTTACATTATATCAAGTATTAAGAATATATTAACTAAGTTCTGCAAATTGGAGGAGAGAGTTATCAATGATAATTTTCTGACTTCAAATCCAGTTATCTCCCTTTACCCCCTTTTTTTAAATGTACTTTTTATCACATAAAATTTGGTGAGGTGCAAGTAAATTTTCTTTTTAAAAATGCAACCCAGAGAAAAAAAAGTTTGAGAGCCACTGCTACATAGAATTTAATCCCCATTGAGTGCCTAAAACTTACGTGTCTGTGTCTGACTAAGCTTAGTAAATAACAATGAAAATATAATTATCAGGGTTGGCAGAAATTATTCTGCTTAAATCTTATCAAAGATTCTTATTCCAATATCTTTCAAGGAGAGCATGTTAATATAGCTTAGAGGAAGGGCTTAAAATAGAAAATGAAATACTTAATAATATGCTTAATTAAAACAATATCATTTTCTGGTATAAACACTGACAGGACAATCCCCCCAATAAAGAAAAACAAAAAGACAGTGTACTGATTAATCCATTTTACTGTTTGTCTATCCCCCACAACAAAAATTTTGGCCAAGTACCCTCTCGCCTTCCTCAGTTGTATTTCAGAATTGTTGAATCCTATTTTGAAGGAACACGCACATCTCCCGTTCCCACTCTGATCTTTGCATCCATGTTCATTGAGCTGTCCTCCACCAACCTCTGAACTGATCTTGTGGCTACTCTTTCAGCTTTCTACAACATGTAATTCCAAATCCATTGCCTACTCCCACCTAATTAATAGCTCCAACTTTGCCCGTCAAGGCATCCAACTTTGCCATGTAAGAGGATTCCTTCAGTCTTTATTCTTTTATCTTATTTTAACTCCTATTCTATAAAGGAGGATTAATCCCAAATTCTCTTCATGCATGGTCAGCCATACCAGAATTTTCAAAGGTCTCCATAAGTTACAGGTTTCTGGTGTTCAAGTCTTTTCTTGGGATTGCCCACTTCCATTTTGTACTTTCTGCCACAACATTTTACATTATGCATGCAGTTCTTGGTCAGATTTTCTTCACATAGTATGAAGATTGAGAAGATGACCCCCCCAAAAAACACAAAAATGCAGAAATAATATACATGCATTTATATATGCCCAAAATAGAACATCTGAAAGAAGTTCTATGAAAAATAGAATACCATTGTGAAACACAGCAGAGACCCAAGGTTGGTGGGTACATAACCAAAATGTGAAATGAGAGGAAAGGAAAAATAAGAAGAATTAAAACTACATACAATTATTAAAATACTCTAACAAAATTCTGACAAGGACTGTATGTTTTTTCTTACAAACAAAATTGTTAATTTATCTTTTATATGGAAGACACAGTGTCACATTTTTCTCTCTATCTTAGAAACTTGCATAATACCAATAGATGTTACATTAATTAACTTTTTATTACTGTAAAAATATCCGCTTAGCAATTTAGTTGTCAGTGCTATACTGATTATGATATAACAATATATATTTTTATATATCAAGAACAGTATTAGGGAAATTGTATGACAAAGTGGATAAAGTTTACTTGTGACGCATTTTGTCCTTCAAGACTTCATTGGACTAAATCTGACATAATTTAGTCCAATTAACTCCTGAAGAACGACATGTGTCACCAGTAAGCCTTTTCCACTTTGTCATACAATTTCCCCAATACTGATTATGTATACAGAACAGGTCAAAAGTTGAAAGCATGGATCAACCAAGACATACCAGCCAATGTCCACAAGGGAAAGGAAGACAATTTATATACATCTGTTAAGTGAAACAGGTTCAACGATAGCTGAACATTTGACTAAAAACCAGCAGTGTCCCCAGCGTTATAGCTGGGACATATTCTCAGTGCTGAGTAAGGCTAATTCCAAATTTCACTAGAATGTATGTATTAAGTCCTACCAACCATCTCTTTGTAAGCAGAGTAGTTGGTGACCTTAAAGGTAAGTAAGTGTCAAATTTTCTTGCATATAACATTTGTCTTGGCTTTTTATATATTTTAGCCCCTGTGTACATTTTTGTCCTCAATCTTTGCTGATGTGAGAGGATCAATAAACCAGTTTAGCTTTTTGCTAATCAGGGTTATATTTTGCTATTACCATTTTACTATAGTATATTTTTTTGCTTAAGTCCACCAAATATGTCACGCATTGTTTTCCCAGGTCTCTTTTTCCTTCTATTCGACCCATAAGTATTAGATTCTCCCGGACCCTCTTTCCTCATTATGTGTCCCAGAAACTTCAGCTGCCTCTTCCTGATATTAAGTATAAGCCTCTTCCTTGTTTGCAACCTCTTTAAGAAGTCATTGTTGCTCACATGCTCAGTCCATGATATCCTTAGCATTCTTCTGTAGAACCACATCTGTTGCCTAGAGTCTCTTCATCTTTGAGGAAATCACCCAACATTCACTGCCATAAAGAAGGACAGATGTCATGTAACAGTTCAGTATTTTCTTTGTTACCAAAGATATCCTAATGTCTCACAGTACTCTGCCCAGCTTCTGGAATATGCCCCTGACTATCCCAATATGGCTACGGATCTTGGTATCACACTTACTGTCCTCTGTGAAGACACTTCCCAGATATTTAAACTTTCTCGTCTGCTTGATTCTTCAAATCGCATTTCCAGCATAAACAAATTACTAACACCAAAAGGAATATAAAAGTTTTGTTGCAATTTTTAGGTATCAAAAGTTGCATACAGCTGCTTTAAAAATAAGTATTGTATATACTTGATATCTCCCGGAAAGGGATATATTTGAACGAAGTAGCTAAGTGGTTTTGGCTACTATAACCAAGTATAATACAGTAGCAGTAATTGACTGGTATGTGTCATAGTCGCAGGTAAGAAGAGTAGATCAATGGCATAGTCTGATGGTCGTTGTTAGACTTAGCTCTCAGACTAAGGCTCTTGCCTCTCCTACACGTCCGTCTGTATTTATGACAGACATCAACCAATCACACTCCAGTGAGGGGGAACACAGGTGTATGCATATTCCATTATATCAATACTCAACTCCAACCCAAATGTTCTTGCATTTGTCTATTTAATCAAAAAGGCAGATAGGTACTATATAAAGGGTTCAGCGTGTCTTTATAATAAAAAAAAAAAAAAAAAAAAAGCATAGAACTATGAATTACATAGGTAATAACTAATGTCAGAAGTATGTATAATTGAAATGCAGTCATTATGGTATGACGAAGCACCTCAAAAACAAAAAGTAAACAAATACTTACCATATGGAGGGTTCAGCAATTCTGAAATTGTATGCACAGCTATGTAATGTACACAAGACACCAGCAGTTGAATACAGAAGATTAATTCTGTGTTAACATTCCTGTAAGAGGCTGTAAAATAAAAAAAAGAAAGGATTCCTTTGAGAAGATAATTAAAATAAAGAAAGATGTGGATATAGACACCTAAGATTAGGTGAATCACAATAACAAATGGAGCAGTAATATTGACCGATTTGTTTTTTACGACTTATCAACACCTTGTGGATTATTTAAAACCGAAACATTTCGGATTGTAAGAATTATTTTTTCTTCTTTTGAGCATGACCTAGGCAAAATGAAAACATCATAGGACAGAGCAATATTTTCAGCTACAAAAAGACATTTTCGACATGGTCACCATCATTGGATATACAATATTTTGCTACATGAATGCAAAAGCCAGGGCTAGAATGGCCAACGACTGACATCGTGGACATGGTATTCTGACAGTGATGGATTAACTTTGTCTGGGTTTCAGATACAAGTCCAAAACAGTATAAATTCAACAGAGGAATGCAAGAATTTTGAATCATCAATATGCTTCCCGCACCTAGGTTGACTAGGACTATGCACAGACGGATGCTGAACCAATTGGCAACATGCGTTACCATAATATAAGTCCTCCTGCTACCTCTTAGAATACAAGCTGTCACATCTGTCACTCCACTCTTCAAATAAAAAAGGAAACCTGTAAGAGTCACAAGCTCAGCTTTGAACAATTGTATTTTGCGTTCCTGTAACAGGTGTTATAAAGAATGACAGACGACGAGAACAAGTTGCTTGATATAACCCAACTCGGTAAATCGACTGTGGGATATTGAGCATACCAAAATCCCGTAAAATCCAGAGGTGGTGTTTACACTAGGTACCGCCACTTGGTCGAATAAAAAAAAAAAAAAAAAAAAAAATAAAATGAAAAAAGGCCCCAAATTCAATAAAAACAAAGTTTTGTCATCAAAATATTTATGTTATTAAGAAGAAAGACCAAAGTATATTTTTTGAATTTTTTTTTTTTTTTTACTCCTTTGTAGCATATTGTAAATTTTGGTTAAAAATAGTTTGTTTTTTTTTTGTTTTTAACGTCGTCAGCAGACCAAAAATAAAGGTTAAGTTTTGGGTTTTTTTTGACATTTTTACAGTGAAAAAACATGTTGATTTGGAAATTCTTGCAAAAATCAAATAATTGTCAGATTTTAATGAAACTTTCAGGACATATTCAGAAATGAAATTATTTTTGAAAGTTTTCTTTTTAGAAAATCTTGGTAAAAAAAAAAAAAAAAAAAAATTTTTTTTTTTAATATATACATGTTACCACCCACTTGGGGTGGGGGGTTATTAGTTAAAAACAGGATTATTTACGGAAAGTAAATTTTTTTTTTTTTTTTTAAACAGTTACCCGTTTCATCAAAAATCTGCTTTGAATTATAAGATAAAAAATGCAATAAAACTGACATTAATTAGAAAAGCTTTTAATTGCTTTTGTAAATAAGGACACTATTGTCTGAAGAAATAAATTTTTTTTTCAATGAATAATGAATTTTTACAAGAATTTATACCTTTTTTTTTTTAATTTTAATTATAATAATATAATATTTTAAAAATCGTTTAAAATTCTTCATTGCTTTCAAAATGGTGGTTTGGTGATATCGTTAAGTGAAAAGTACACATACGAATCAAAGTTTGAAGAGCTCATAAGTCATTTGTACCCCAATATTCTAAAAATAACTTTTAGTAAAAAAAAAAAAAAAAAAAAAAAAAAAAGTTCCTAATTTCTACCTATGGGAATTTATAAATGATATAATTCCTCAAAAGGTCACGTGATTTAAGTGTCGTCTGATGCACTGCAATTATTTCACTTTTAATTCAGTTCCATTTCATCATTAATGTCTTTGCAAATCATCCCTTCAAAATATATAAAACAAAAAGGTTTTACTTTTCCTAATTGCTATTTCACTAAATATTTTTATTTTATATATTATGTTTGGGTCATACTTCAATTAATTAAATTTTGTTTAAAAAGGTAGTAAACTTAAGACGCTAGAGATGAAATGCAAATTTCATAAAGCTTCTTGAAACCTAACTAAAAGTCAATAAAATATTAAATAATTACTGAAAATATGTTAATTTATAAAAATTACTCGGTAGTTAATAAAAAAAAAAAATGTGTTTACTTAGATTTCATAAATTTGTCATTTCTGCTCATCCATAAGAGCTGTCATCACCTTGAGAGTTTCTCGATAAATCAATAAAAGAACAAAGAAAGAGGGTACCCATCGTTAAGAAATACTTGTATATTGTTTTTTTATGCTATAAGTAATATTTATTTCAAATCAGCTTTAAATATTCTGATTTTACTCAAATAATCTTGTCAAAAAGTTAAGAGAGAGAATTTTAAAAGCAATAAATTTGTTTATAAATATCTTAAAATTAAGGAAATGGCCACTAACAAAAAAAAAAAAAAAAAAAAAAAAGAGAAGCAATTATTTGACATCCCAATCTATATAATTTCTATCTGAAATACACCAGAATATTTTACTTACTGGAAATAATAAACTTAATTATTTAGATTTCATTTAAAACTAAAATGAAATCTTAAGAATGCTTTCTTATTTTTAAGGTTTAATTTTAAAACTTAGGTATCAAAAATTCAGTGGAGATGCTTTCTTTACACCTTATGCGATTATGCAAGTGTTGGTAGAATGATAATTTTCATGTTTTCATTGTTGTGCAGTTCTGTAAATGTTTATTTGCTGTTATACCATATGTCTGAATGCATGTATTGTTATATTGTATATTTCTTTCATTTGACTTGTGTATATGGCGTTGGTTCCGGAGGCATAGCAAATGAGGGACAAATAAGCTAGAAGTCACGCTTGGCAATGATTTAAAAATGCATATTACGATGCATTTTGAAAAAGAATCCATGCTCAGAACATGGCTTGTCATACACACACAATCATCACTAGTGAAACGTTATCCACTACCTAACTGTGCTCACATCAACTGTTTGGTCTCCATAAATATTCAACAAGCATCAATAAATGTCAATGGATGCACACACACACACCCCTGTCAGATTTCTGCTTTGTGCATGATTTTATGTCATATACTGTTCTGCCAGACTGCCACTCGGATGTTATCTGTAACAAGGAAAAAATTAGAAGAAAGCTTCTGGCATCATGGGAATTACTTTTGGATCAACCCTCATATCCCAAGTAATGTCTCACCATTTTACTTTGGGCTGTACTAAGATAAGACTAGTAAACATAATGGAAATTTTGATAAAATATCATTTTATAATGAGACTGTCTCGTAACAAAAGATATACATTGCCTATTTCTAGTAAGTGTTGAAGCATTTCTGGTTTATTAATATGTAGTTAGAGAAAGTTTGTAACCAAAAATGTCATTTCAGTAGAATTTAAAATTAAATTATCTTACCTTTGCAAAGAAGAAAGAAAACCCAACAGAGTTTTTTTAATCGAATAACTTTATCTCTGAAGAACAAAAGAAATTTCAATTAAATGCATGTCATTATATTGGCGAATAAGAAAAATTTTTTGTCAAGAAATGATACAATCCCATCTGATAAGATTTATTCCAACCTCACCAACCTTAATTATTAGATTAAAAAAAAAAAAAAAAAAAAAAAGTTTCCACCCACTCCTTATTGACCCAAGCTTATTAGATTTTGGACACCCCCCCACCACCACCACCACATTCCATTTATAAAATTTTAACCCATCCCCAATTTCTTCTAAACTTCTTATTCAAGACCTGAGAGAATTCATCTTCCTGGTTGAGATACTAGCCATGTCAGAGGTTCATACATCATCAGAAATGTATTCAAAAAGAAAGCAGTCTTCAGAGAGACGTCAGCAGAACCAAGCCTCCCACAGACGAGAACATGACCAAAAACTAAATGTATAGTATTCCATTCAGTTGTGACAAGGAATTTAAAACAGAGACTGTCTACCTTTAAAATGTAAGGTTTGCAAAACATTAAGTAGTTGTAATATGTTGAGACAATGAAATCAGGTCGGAATTGAGAATGTGTAGACTGAGATAAAACACAAAGCCCATTAAGCTTTATAGAATGAAGTTTGAGTAATGAAGAAAACACTGGAAAATACAATGATTGAAAGAATCAGTGTACATACTCAGCTCTGATAACCTAATTAGCAAGTCAAGCATAGAAATGAGCAGTAAATAATCTTTTCCACAAGCCATACTGTTTTTTTTTTTCATTTTTAGTTCAATTCACCCTCATGATTTCACATAAATTTCACTGCCTGAGCCAAATACAGAAGTCACAACCACCAGATAAATTGCACACATCCATTAGCCAGTATTGTTTCATCATTTCAGACTGAGTTTTCTCCAGTTATGTTGAATAGTACCACTGTTGATGAGGCTTCATGCCTTGACTATCGGTTTGGTTTGGTTTGTTTTATGGCATATTAACCCCAATGGGTTATTTAATGCCAACAAGATTTTTTAGTGCTGGTAAAGTCCCCCCCCCACAGAATGTATTGCTGATAATATTGCTGGTAATAATTTTTTCTTCAAAAATTCATTGCTAGTAATAAAACCTATTTTTACACTTTCATAGTGTTTTGACCCCAGTTTGGGGGTTAACTATTTGCCCATAGCTGGGACCCTAAGAGGTGTTACCACCCCAGCTCAGGGTGGACCTGGGAACACCAGCAATTAAGAAGTGGTTCCATGCTCCTCAAAACCTCCTGATTAGAGGCCTTGCTGTTGGATGTAGTTAATCGTCTTACCCAGGACAGATCCATTGGGTCTCAAGTTCATTCCAGAGTTCAAGTGGAATTCTTATATACAATCCACTGGAAAAATGATCAGCACATTCTTTAACTCTAGGAACATGTCAGATGTTTGGGTGAACGACATTCTTTGGTTCCACCAGTCCTGACTTTCAACAGCTAGGACCCACCATGCCATGTATCCTGAGTAAATTCATCCTTATTCCCTTAATACTCCACTGCTTAAGAGGAAATTCCACTTCTTTCCCAGAACTGTTGCAATGTGAAATGGATGCTTTAAGGGGATGCTTTACAGATCACTACAATCTTAACCTCTTCAACCGTTATTAATCCTACATATAGTCATAACATGCAAACTTTGCTCTCTCCAGGTTTACCCTTACAACATTCCCATTTAGTAACCCTCTACCTTGAGTGGCTCTCGGGTCCTGTATTGGGTGAACAATAGTTAAAAAAAAAAAAAAAAAAGTGACATCCAACATGCTTTATTTTTACAAGAGTCAGATTAGAACAAAAAGGGACTATTGTTGTCATATCTGGACTGAATATATTCACTACTCACTTTCCAGCCTAAAGGAATTCAAAAACTTTACCAAGTTTGCAGTCTCTTAGACACTATGTTGTAAGCCTGTCATTTCTCTATCATTATTTTCACGGCAAATGTTCATATAAGCTTTATCGCCATCAGTTCGACATACAATACCACTTCCACAGAGTTGAATGACCCTCATTTTCCGTGTTCTAAATGTAAAAAAGTTCCACTAAGACAACCTTTTCCAAAGAACTGCCACATTTACAGAACAGACTACCATCTGTTTGCTTCCCCTTTTCAAGCCAAAGGTCAAATGTCATCTTTATCTTCATAATTTTCCTACCACCCTCTTTTGTTTTCATATTTCACACCTTATTCAGCATTACTACCCTTTAAGGGTCACCCTCTACCTTAAGTGGATCTTGGATTGAATGAAGTTTAGTAAGGAAAAAAAAAAAAAAAAAAAAAAAAAAAAAAGGGTGGGAGGGGGGGAGCGACATGCAGGTGGTGCAATTTTAGAACCTTAAAACATAATACCAGTTTTTTCCTAATGAAAAAGTAAATTTAGATAATCATATTATTAATAATATCCATAAATAAAATTATCTAAAAATTTCAAGTAATTTCAAAATGCTATTAGATACCAGCAAAATTAGTGAATAAATTACAACTGAGAAGAAAAAAAAAAAAAAAAAAGCATAAAAAGTTTCAAATAATTTGAGTGAAGACTTGATTTATACCCAATGAGGTGAGGAAAATGAAAAAGAATAATAAAGGAAGAAAATTATTAACAAAGTATATACTACATGAATGCAAATAACAGAGTATATATTTGCTTTGATGTGTGTCTATTTTATGCCCTTTAAGTATTGGTTAATGTAGAAGAAAAATTGGAAAAAGAAAAGAAAATATATGAAAACATACTGAGGCTATTAACAAAAAAAAAAATATTCAATTTTCAGATTTACTTAGATTTATTTTTGAAAAATTTATAATAAAAATTAAATTTACTTACGATGGTATATTTGGGTTTTGTTTATATACATCTTTAAATATTCTGCAATAGGAAAAGAAAACATGGTAAAAATCAGTTAAGACAATATTAAAACTATTTGAACAACTCTAGACATAACTAAAGCACAAGAGTCATATTAAGTTATTTTACAACCTTATAGAATTTACCTTTTTTTTTTTTTTTTTTTTTTTTTTTTCATTCAAATGGACTGACAGCCTATTTTAAATAAGAGTAAAAAAAATAGTTTTATCCATTTTTAAGAAAAGAAAAATTGACTGCAAATGGATTGTATAAATATTTATTGAACATTACACATTACAAAAGCTACAAACTTGCATTGAAATTTCCTACCTGATTATTTAACGCAACTCAAAAATGTATTACTTAGTTTCAGGTTGTCAAACAGTTCCTAAACAGAACTGAAATTTATGTAGAGAAAACAGATTGGTCAATTTTAATAATAAAAGAATATTTCCAGATACTTTGCCTCTGAAGTGAAAATTTGAATTATATATCTAGAGAAACTTAATTACTAATGTTTGACATTTCTTTCATCTTCATTCCAACTACTACATTATTTTAAAAAATCTACTTTCAACTACTTATTTTTAGATACCACTTTTTTTTAGAATAAACCAGTTCACCAAGTGATCAAAGTTAAGCAGTGTCAAGCCCAGTCAGTATTTAGATGGGGGACTGCTTGGAAACACTGGATACTGTCAGCAACCTCCTACAATCTGAAATGTGTTTCAGCTTTAAGTAACCTCCAAAGGGTTGATAAGGAATAAATAAAAAATAAAAAAAAAGATATTACAACAGACATATTCTTTGAGGCTTTTTTTTTTCTTACACCTTTTGCTTATAGCAATTATTTCCAGAGTTAAGAGTCAGAAGAATTTAACTAAAAAGAAAAGAAAAAAAATAGAAAAAGAGAAAAAACTGTTTCCTGTATTATTTTTGAATTTTTCTGTCTGAATTTCCTGAATGAGAAGTTATCGTTATTTACATTTAGACTAATGCTCTCATTTTCGTTGCTCTTATTACAATGTTTTTATTTTAATCATTTAATTTTTTTGTTTTTAGCATTTCACCCCAAGCAAGGCAGGAGTGTCACTAGCACACAAGGGGTTACAGAGAGTGGGAGCAAGAGTAAAAAGGCATGATAGAGGAAAGGATGAAGAGAAGGTTGGGGAATAGATCAAGGCATCTGGAGATGTCGATTGACATTGCATTTGAACAGTTGGCGATTATAGCTATCAGGAAGCAAGTAAGAGGAAGGGAGTTCCACAGACTGAAAGTGCAAGACATGAAGCTATTGGAGTAGAAGAGATGGCTACATTTAACAGTTTTGACAGTGAAAGGGTGGGACTGAGATGCCAACCTAGTAGCATGTTTAAATTCATACAGTTTGGGAACCAGGGAAAGTAGTTCGTCGGAGCAGTTACTGTCAAAGTATTTGTAGAAAAGATAGAGGGGACCAATGGCACAACTGTGAGAGAACGACTGTAAACAAGACTTAAAGCACTGGTTCATGAATTTGGTGGTATAGTAGTAACTCAATCCATGGGCTAGGTTATACAAATATACTCAAATTCTGTGGAAGGTAAGCAGATTCAATAAAGGCACAGATATTCAAAAAACTTAAAACGATTACTTTGTTACTTATTTTAGTACATCATTTTACTTACATTATTGTCATGTAACAAACAAGTCAGTGAATTATTTAAACAAATTAACTGAAAATAATCAACAGTGCTTGTCACTTATATTATCGCCAAATGAAGTCTGTTTTACATTTAGTAGTGAATTAATTGTTCTATGCAATGTGGTTAATTGAAATAAGTGGTGTAATTTGTTGTACTCGATAAAAGGTTCAATTTGAGATTACTTAAAGGTTACCCAGATCTACAGACACCGGAAAAAAGGCTGAAGGACACAACAACAGAAACATGATTATGATAAAAATGAGGACATTATTATTTACACTATTAAATTGGGATTATTATCATCTTTGTCATTGTATAATGATCTGTGTAACCTACAGAGAATTCTGAACTAAACCCTTTATTTAATCTATGGGGTAAACTGTTCTTGTTCTAGAGACATCATCAATTTTTTTTAGTTCTTATTGCTTGCCACTGAGTGCAAATACACACTACACCACCCAGGATTGAATTCACAATCACTGTCACCAAATGAAAAACCAATCCCATAGATCAATTTACTGTAGTGAACTTGGAGCCTTAAACCTAACCTTCCTGATGATTAGAGTTGCAACTGCTGCTGCTGAAGACTTGCAGTCATTTGTCTGTTTCTTTGTTAGCAGTTCCCATATTGTATTTATTTCTATGCTAGGCCTACTAAGAAGTCCTCATAGCCTAGCATATATGCTGATTCTTCCAGACATCTAACTATCCAGTGTTCTTCCTTGCCCAGTATTTTCACTTCATTCCACAGGGGCTAATGACTACCCCAGATGGATATACATCTGAAGAAGGCAGGAGGGCACAACAGCTGAATGCTGTGATAACAAAAAAAGATGAGGACAATAGTCTGAATATAAATGGTGTAAATAATGATAACTCCTCATCCCAGAAATGAGGAATGAAAATAATGTAATTACTTTTTAGTTTTTATTTCTAGCCAGGCAACACTTTACCTAATTCTAAAATTTGAATACATTTTGACATTTTCTTTGTTCAACATTATATCCATTTTATACTCCAAACAAGATCACAATTATTTATAAAATTTTTTTGATTTTTATATTTTTCTTTATAGTTCAAACAAAAACAACTGCCTGTTTCATTTCTGTTTCTTGACAGACTGCCTTAACCGGGTATTGAACTGTGCCATGTGTCCTCAAGTGGATAACGGCGTTAGTTAGATCCAGTAACAGGACTCAAAGAGTGTGAGTTCAATACCCGGTTAAGGCAGTGGAGAACTTTCAGAGGGAAATTAACAGGATATAACTGATAACTAACATCCATTAAACATGTCACATGGAACTAGAACAGTCTACTCCAGTGAGCGAAATAAAGGGTTCAGTTCAACATTCCAACCACCTGAAAAAGACCGGAGAGTACAATGGCCAAAATGTTCTAACAAATATGGCGACAAAGATGAGGACAATAGTCCGAATAATGTAAATAGTGTAAAACTAAATGAACAAAAGATTTTGGAAGCTCTTAAGTGACATTGCTGACATGAGATGAAAAAATAAATAAAAATGAGATACAAAACCTTTCAAATTTGTAAAACATAGCACTTGAAATGCAGAAATGTTTTCCCAATTGTTGCAAATGGTCTTTCACTGCATCACTGATGTTTTGGATATCACGATATTTTTGCATATGGGAATAAAATTCTTGGAAGCTGCACAAAGGATAAAAATGAGACATTAACACAAATGCTTTTTTAACACATTGACATCTATAGGAGTTCCATGCACATAACTTTGAAAAGTTGACCATCTTTGCATGAAACTGAGTTGTACCAAACACTGAGGAACAATTACATATTTACTATTAATAAAAATGTCATATCTATAATTTTACTTTGAACACTGATTTATTACCAACCAGCAATCAATGCCATTATATATATATATATATATATATATATATATATATAAACAAAGACTTGAACCCACAGAAATAGAAAATAGATTTAAACAAAATGGACATCATTATTTAACCTTTAGGACCCTTTCAGCCAATGCTTTTTCAAAAAAAGTAATTGTTGGTAAAAAAAAAAAAAAAAAAAAAAAACAATTGAAGACGCATTAATAATAAATTAAAACATGTGGAGAGAAAGCTGGAACATGATTAAAATAAATTCTTTATTGTAAATAAATTAACAACTAAAAAAATTGGGAAGTTTCAAAAGAGTATAAAATGGGAAAAACTCACTCACAATGCCTCAAAAAAAATTTATTTTAATCGCGTTCTAACTTTCCCTGCTGGGTGTTGACTTCAATGTCCACTTTTATTTATATATGTTGAATTTCATGTTATTTGGATATTTCTTTTCATTTTGTTGTGTACCCATTATACACCATTTTGACATTAGACCAACTTCAATATGCTCACATCTTTATCACCAGACCAAAGAACCATTCAGAAAAATACTGGACAGTCAGAATAAGAGATAAAAATTTACAAAGTTTTAACCAATCAACTAAATTGGCCATCTACAAACACCAGACCAGACATTGCCTTTGATTGCTGGGATCAAAATATTTACTATAACTACAAAAGATGGTTGTTAAATTTATCAATACACTGACTTATGATGATGAGATGTTTGTATTTTCCAAAACTAAGCATGGTTCCCTGAAGTGTTTCTGATAGAGCATCTGATATCCCTAATGGAAACTATTGGCGGTTTTAGAAATGTTTGAGGGACTGAATATCAACATATAAAAAGCAAATAGAAATTCTCAAAAAGCCATGAGGGTCACTGCACTCACTCGCAGCCACTTAAAGTTTACTACTCATCCATGCAAAAAAAATTAATAGTTTTTAAAGGAGTCTACTCAACTCTCAATGCGATTGGCCTGGAATGAAACATATTTGCAGACCTACATTATCGGCTTTGTCCAGTGAAAAAGCATTCCCTTTTTTCTCTCCACAAAAACAGCATTCAACACAGTGTTTTGGCTGACAAGGTAAGTTGCAATTTTCTTCAACTTTGTCAACACAAACTATAGCATTGCTTGACACAACTTAATATTGCAAGTATTGCTAAAGAAGTGTCAGGTTGTCCCGAGATGAAAGAGTTTCAGAGATAGTAGTTTATTTAAAAGTTGGATAACTATTTGAAATAGGTGGTGGTGAAAGAAACTTGTCAGATCTTAGAGGTGAATTTAACATGTCGGCTTCCACACAACCCACCTAAGTTTCATGGTGGTATGTCTGCAAGACTCACACAAATCCTTGGTGGGCCATTTCTTTTTTATGAGGATTATTGGGAGTGGGATGCTATGATTGATTACTTATTAGATCATGATACACCAGAACCACATTTTTTTCAAAAAAAATTTAAATACTTATTTTTTTTTTTTTTGTCTTATTTAGTTTTCATTTTGAATTTCTACTGTTGTTTTTGGTTTCATTTTTTTTTTTTTTTTTTTTATATACACAGAGCTGTACCATACATTCAAGTAAATTAAAGGCTAGAATCAACAGTAAATTTAATTACAAAAACATCATGAAATTAAAAAAAATAATGTATACTTTATTTACTTAGGAAACCAAAATAATGCCTACAACCAGTAAAATAAACAAGAATTCTAATCTAATAAAAATCACATTCCTAATAAATAAATAAAAATCATATCCCATATGTCTGATTTCTTGAAAAGATATAAAAGAAAAAAAAAAAAAAAAAATTCAAGAGCATGTATTGCTACACCACAAGGAAAAGTTGAATCGATTCTTATTTTATGTCTCTTATTGAAACACTCAAAGCAAAGGGAAGGATTAACTTCACATTCAGCAGAAAATGGATTCACTTTTTTTTTTCTTTAATTAGCTTCCTTTGCACTCATTGTTTTCTTCATTTCTCCAGAACAGGATTTAAGAAATAGTGTTGGGACCCTGGGACAACAAAGGAAATGAGGCTTGGGAGCCAACGTGTTAACAAGCATAAAATATGGCAATTAGGTTAAGCCTTTAACATATTACAACAGCAGCAAAAAGGCATTGGTGTAGGGTATTTGCAAGAAATCGAATGCAGGTGTTGGAAATATGATTGACACAAGACAATTTCAGACATTACCATGTGGCCCTAACCTCAATAGTTTCTGTAATGGTCTGTAATCATTTTGTGTTTTTGTAAGCTGCCTGGATGCTGAATCTCTGTTCTTGTGATTTTCAAATTTACTTTTAAAATTGAACAGCATACCTTTGATACTTGAATTAGGTACAGTCCTGTTGGTAATCTCAAAAGTATTTGCCATTATTACTTTAACACTGGTAGTTAAGCTTAGTAATGATCTAAATCTCTAGGTTATGGGCCCAGCATGCTTTCACTGGACTGAACTTTTCAGCACCCCATATATGGGTGTGCGTGAAGTTGGATGAGGGTCTGACAGAATGATAAATATATAAGAATTTAGAAGATTTATGCTTATATAGGTGTTTAAGGAGTATTTTAAATATTTATTAAAATTGGTGCACATTATTAGTTGTGACCTATATCTGGATTTCGGGCTCCTCTTCATCCAATATCAATTGCCTTTGATGGCGTAGGCATGATACATAACTACAGTTACATCAGTATATTTAACATAATTAATATACTAGTTTTGACAGCATAATGAAGAGAACTGAATTGGGAGAAACTTCCATCTTCCAAATATTTCCCTAATTGACAGATTGATTTCAGTCTTAAAATTCAAAGCATATGATGGAACAGCTCATAGTTTATGTCAGTTTACTCAATATTTTGACCGACTTCAGTCGTTGTCAAGAACCAAAATCCATTTAGTTGATATGGTAAGACCAAAGTCAATTTTCCTTTTGAATTTGTCAATATTTTCTGAATAAACAATATCCCATAAATACAAAAAAATAATTTGAAAGAACATTTATACACAAAAACGTCCAGAAATACGAGTTCATGTGAAAACTATGGTTTATAAAAAGCAGGAAAGAAAAGGAAAAATTTAAAAATAATCACTGAATAAAAGTCTTTAAAATTTAACTACATTATCCACGCTGACATAATACAAATTTATTCTATTATAACCTAACAAGCAATTTTGCTCACGTTTGAATATACACCATTTCAGTTAAGTTTATCTACATGTTTCAGTTACAGTTACATACAAAAACCAGACTTTATATAAATTATTACATTAATAGAGATTATCATTTATAATATGGTTGGTATCAGTTTCCATTTCAATATACTTACTGGACATTGCTGTTTAGTAATAAATCTGTTACAGTAAATTGTGGAGGATTTCCATCTGGAGATCTGGAAGCAATTAAAAAAACTTTTAGAGAAATTTCAGAACAAAGGTGGAAGGAGAAACAAAAGTGAAAACAAAGGTTGTAAAAAGAGAAGTTATCACAAAAATTGTATACAGATATTAATTATTAACATGCAATATGTCTGTATTTGGTATTATAGATAGAACTTTTAGCTCACAATTTTTTTTTTTTAGTATGGACAAATAGAGTAATTTATATCATTAATAAACAGATGCATCTATTTATGCAAGCTAAATCAGGAAACCTGAGTATATATAAAGTCTTTTAAATTATTTTGTTTTTTTTTCTTTTCCACCCCCAGTGGTGCTTTAGGGTGACTTATGGTCACAGGTTATATAAAGCTCACTCCTCCCTTCTTTCATTTGCATTCAAGTCATCTGAAGATAGTATGAGCATGAAACTCAGGTTAGGACTAAGGCCATCCTTTCACAGGATTTGTTGTTGTTAAATGTTTGTTTTTTTTTTTGTCCTGTCTAGGCAATCTTGGCTTTGAGCATTTTACTGAGGAGGTAGGTTTTTGTCATTTTTGTTCAAGACTTAATCTTGATAAGAGTTTTAGGTTTTGCTAAGTTGTCCATTGGTTCTATCAACTGTTTTTGTTCATTCATATATAAGTGGGCAAAAAAATATGGTTGGCTTATTAAGTAAATTTTCTATTAATAAAAAAATATTCTTTTGGTCCAAGTGTATGTGTGTGTGCATGTTTTTTATTGCTTTAAATGCTATTTTAGTGGATATCCATATGTGGGTACATGGTTCATTTATTTATTAAACAGTATATTTATTTATTTTGTCTTACCAGCCTAAATATTTGAGAAATATTATTAAAGGAAAATATGTGCTCTCCAGAGAATACCTTTTTTTTTTTTCTTTAACATGTTTAAAGTGATAAAATATGTTCGATTAATAAATAAAAAAAATCCCTTGCTTCTTTATATATTATGAAGAAATATAGTTTTAAGGTGTGCTATATTTATGGGATAAAGTGCTCAATATCAGAGATAGAGTATGTAAATATAAAAGTGAACATTGAAGTCAACACTCGGAACAGACAGGTTGTCTCATGCTAGATGCAATCATCAGGCCTGGTGATTGCATCTAGCATAAAACAGCCTGTTGCTTCTGAGTGCATATAAGTTAAATGTAAATGGTTTCAATAATCTTCAATCTTTTCCAATCCAGCAGAACACACCAAGTTATGTAACAGCAACATGTAATTCTTTTTCTTTATGCATTCAAAAAAGTATATTCCTATTTTATATTGATATCTTTCAGTATCTTGAAGTGAGTATAGCGTAAGAACATGTATAAATATAGGATACATGCTTTTCTGGTGTGGTCTAGCTCATTTTAACTGTTACACATGATGTCAATCTGGAATAATTTAAATTCTAACACTGTAAAAAATGCAAGGATATTGCCAACAAAATCTTATCTACCGAACAACACCCAATCCTTGATAATGACTGAACAAAACAGAACAAAAACATGAGTTTTGGATAGTTTATCCACAATTTGATTCCAATGTACAATTGGATAAATGGAATAAAAATTATAAAAACAGACATTGTTGGTTGAATTTAAGGAAATTTGTTTGCCCGAATTTCCTGCTGTCTAAATATATATATATATATATATATATATATATATATATATATATGAGAAACCATTTTCAAGCCACGCATGTTTTACTATTAAGCTACAGAAAGTCATTACAGCAAGGAAAGGCTCAATTGTGCTATTTATGAAATGCACATCTCTCATTGCAACCTTTCAAAGTCTATATCTGCTAAATTTATTTCTGTACTTAAAATGTGAATGAAGTAATTTCTAAGCTCTTAATAGTTTAATAATCTGATATTTCTTGCATTTCAGCTATAAAAATAAACATATATACATGCGTGTGTAAATTTTTCACAGAGTGCAGTTACTATACTTTGATCATAAGCACAAGTGCTGACCTGTATGTAAATAATCTAGTCTGTTAAAAACAAACACAAAGGTACTATGCTAATATCTGCTACAATCCCCTTTATACGGATTGGTCAATTATGTCACCAAACTATTTTGGTATGAACAGACCTAAGTGGGGTTTTAATTAATTATTGCTGACTTGCCATTTTGTCAGGGTTTTAATTTTGATATGTACACTTAGTGTGCTTTGAACTTCATTTGAAAATAATTAATGACCTTTAAATTTTTAATGGCACTCCCAACAATCCTTTCATGGAACACAGGTTGAAAAATAACTCAATCACTGGCTTAGCATGTTAATATTAAATCAATAATATGATAGAAAAAGGTTTTCAAAATTTTTGTTTCCTCTATTTTCATTTAAAATGTAAAAAAACATGACATTCTATTTTTAATAGAATAAAAAAGAAAAAACAAACATTTGTGTTCCTGGACTATGTATAGTTTTTGCTAAAACTACAAATGCAAGTATTTAAATATATTGCTTTATGTAACTAGTGTAATTGTCTAATGACAACCAGAATCAACCTGTAGCTTAAAGAAAAAAAAAAAAAAAAAAAAAAAGAAAAAAGATACATTGCTACCTTATCAAACAGCATTGTTATCTAAAAAATAAGACAGGAACATATTTTTGCATCTACTTTATAATCAAGAGTTATGAAAATCAAGGCTAGTGCATACTACCCCTAAAACCTTCAACTGAGGGCCCCAAGCAGTACTTTATGACCCTTTCTATCAACATTTGCTTTTTTTTTTATACCTACAATTATATACATTATAAATTAAACCGATTATTAAAGGATGAAATGGGGGGGTGGGATTTTGACATCTTTGAGAAGGAGGGATCCAAATACATGCATTTGTTTTGCTCATGCTAAGTCTTGGAAAAAAAAAAAAAAAAAAAACACTATATAATATCCATAATGTTGAAGGTGTTAAATCATTCAACTTTCAAACAAGAAAAATCTGAAGTTGATGTTAAAAATTGGTGCAAATCATTGAAGTATTTAACATGGTACGATCTTATTATGATATCTCTAATTTGTATTTAGATACATTTATTTTCAATTTTTCTAGTTAAATTGTTCATCTATATTGCATATGATGCATTACTGTATGTAATTAGGTTATAATAAAATTTGTATTTTATATGAATACCACTTCAGGAAAACTGAGGTGTAGTAGAGTGCCTCCCCTCCGTATTATGGGGGATGGCAAAAGAACCTTACACTGGCATAAATATAATCATTTTTACAATATTATTATAAAATTAATTTAAAATGAAAAGAACTGATATTAATAATATCAAATATTTTAAAGATCCAACCATGTCTCCATATTCTAATTTTGAAAACTAGAAGTTTGTATCTTGTCTGCTGGTAATAAGGGCCTTGAATTAAGTATTAAATTGTATTGTTGGCACCTGTCAAATACATACCAATTTTTAAAGTTGAATTAATGTATCAATAAACAACAAAAATATTTATGTTTATTACCTGAAGACAAGAAAAAAAAAAAAATTATAATTTCCAACAAAAATTAAGAACATTTTATAGACTAATATTTACCCAGCTATCAGATTATCAGTATTTGTACCCATTTTGCTTTCATAATACTGTAATATTAAAAAGGTAAATATTTGGGAGAGAGTGTCTTATATACCATCAAAGACAGATTTGAAGATGACTTTGAGAGAATTTTGCTTTCGGTAATAAAGAAAGAAAAAAAAAAAAAAAAAAAAAAGGTCCTACCGGCTGTCAATTAGTGCAGTGTAGAGGGCGCACGCAAACCAGGCAATTTGTTTATTCTGAAAATAAAAATAATTTCAACAGCATAAAAAAAGAAAAGAAAAAAAAAAAAATGATTTTTAACAACTTGTTTTGAAAGAGGCCAGCCATTTTGAATATCTCAAAAACTGGTTGTGCAGCCTTGACACAACTGCTGAGGTATTATTGAATGAACTTGTATACTATCTTCCTCATAAGTATCAAGTGAACAAATTTTTCATCACATCTTTCACACAAGTATATTTTTGAAAAAAAAAAAAAAAAAAAATATATATATATATATATATATATATATATATATATATATATCACCCAGGCCTGCTACTCCTTATTGGCCAGATATGATTACATGACTTCTGGCTTTTCCAGAGGCAACTGATAGTTATCCTATAGAGGACTTTGAAAATTATATAAAAAAAATGTAAAAGACACAAAGGATACTGAGATAAGGGCCTATGGGGAGAACTTTGAAAGGGAATAAGATGCCATTGCCCTAGTTAATTTAAAAAAAAATAAAAAAATAAAAAAAAAAAAATAAAAATAAAAAAAAAATATACACACACAAAAAAAAAAAAAAAAAAAATGCTAAAACAAGCGGATATTTTCTGCAAAAACCTTGCTACATTTGAATTTCAAATTGATTTTTCTATTTGAATTTCTCAGTCAAAGTCATGTTTCTATTATACAATGATACTTTTGAACCAGTTGTTCATTAATATTAATAAATATAGTTTTAAGATATGCTACATTTAAGGGTAAAAAGTTCAATATCTGGGAAGATGGTATTTAAGCATGAAACAGACCTGACTGTCATCACTTGGTGTTGAGCTCAATGTCCACTTTGTTATATATATATATATATATATATATATATATATATATTATATATATATAAACATTATATTTAGTGGGTACACATGTTAAAGTGAATATCACTTTTATAAAAAAGGAAATTAATGTTTACCAGCCAAAAGAAAAGTTTTAATAAAGAAAATGTGCAGTGGCCATGATCTTTAGACATTAATTTCTTTTTATTAAAAAAAAAAAAAAAAAAGAATAAAAAGTCTATTCAAACATATCAGTTATGTGCCATGACTGATACATGCTTAGGCAATCATGTATCTTGATACATGACTGACGAGGCAGATCCCCCCCCACCCCACAGTAGGTTGCCATTTGTTTCTGCGGTAAACCAGTTGCCATCCAAGGCTATAGAACCCGGTCTGTCCTGCTATTTACCCATAGCTGGGGGGAGAAGAGGATTCATACCTTTACCCAGGGTATTAGCACATAAGTGAATGTGATGAATTTGACTGGAATTCAAACTCAGCTCTCTGATTACTCAATCCAAGCTGCTATCCATTAACTCCCTCAAACATATACACCCAATAAATATAACGTCATAAGAAATGAAGTTTGAATTAAAAAAAAAAAAAAAAAAAAAAAAATTAGAAAAAAATCAATCACATATACATAAAAAGAAATATACAAATCATACATAAGTTTTTGATTTTAGATACTTTTCAAAATAGATTTTTAATATACATAAAATATTTTTTTTGATTATTTACCCATGAACAGGCTATTTTTGCAGTTTGATTTTCAAAATGGGTGTTTTCAAGCTATACAATTCTTTTTCCCAGTTTTTCAAAAGGAATCCATCCTCATGTCAACAGTTCAAAATAATTTAATCCTCTTTGTTAATCCATTCACATTCTTGAAATCTATGATTTTTAGTTTCTCATAGATAGATAGATATTTGAGTTTGTTTGTTTTTTTCATTATATCCCATTTTACCACTGGCATTTCCCTTTTCATTTTTTAATTCCAATATGTTCTGACAACATTTGCATATTCTTTTCTCCAATTACTCTGATGTAAATTCTATCCTCCCTTTTGGATCTCCCTTACCTTATATAACACATTTTCCTTCCTACAGTGGACATTTGGGTTTGATTCTCCAATTCTACATATAGTATTTCAACGGCAGTATACTCTCTAGTCTTCACATTTGGTGATCATCTAAAAAGGTCAAATTGAATCCTTTGTTTGATTCACAGGGTTTTGTCACTTTCATATCTACATCTGGCTCAACTAGTGTCCTTCCTAGAAAATTCCAGAAGTCACACTCATACCAATCTTCATCACCAAGTTACACCAACTCAGTGGAGATGAAGAGTGGTATTTTACACGAGATACAAGAACTGAACTTGCAACTTCCAGGAACCAGATGAGCTTTTCTCAGCACCTTTATCCAGTAGGTCAATGAAAGGTGGTAAATATTGAAATAGTTTATTTAAAAACATGAGAAATCTACTTGAGAATTGTTTTATAAACTTTGAATATGAATTCTTATGTATCATGCTACTTATTCAAACTACACTGTGTTTCATTATTAAAAACTTCATACTTTATGCGGAAAAAAAGAAAAAAAAAAAAAAAAAAAAAAAAAAAAAAAAAAAAGAAAGATTTTTCTTATTGGATGCAAATTTAAAACAACAAAAAAAAAACCTGCATCCACATATATGAGAGGGACATGAAGATCATAGAAAAAGTGGGGGTTCACCAGGAATCAGTGTACAGTGTACGGATAGAGCTTAGCTCTGAAACTAGGACTCCTGGAATTGAACAAACATATCAATGACAATATCACTGAAAAATTCATCCAGGAAAAGAAATTAAGAAATTCATGGAATTGCACAATATTTTGCTGTTTGTTTTGTAGAAATACCAGATTTTACAGAAATATTTTCTTTTAATGTTATATTGCTACTTGCTTTGTGTGTTTTTGCTTTTAAACATCTACCTGAACAGGTAGGATGGAAGCCAATTTATTTTGCAGAGATGTGAACAAACAGGATTTGTAAGGTTGGCTTAAAAGATAATTGCTTGAGTTTACAAAAGGTAAAACAATGCTGGAAATTGTAGAAAAAATAATCAGGTACAACTGGTAAGAAGTTCATCAAAAATACTGAGCAACTTTGAATGCAGGTTTGATAATGGCTAGTTGAGGACTATCACACCAATCTGTCTCCCATATCAAGGGAGATGTTATAAAACATTCTATTTTGCCAAGCTATGAAATTCTTACATTTGCTACTAGCAAAAACCTATTGAAAAGCCCAAGATGACAGGTTTATTGATTGATTTGTTTTTTTAACAGTATATCAAAACCTTATAGGTAATTTGATGCCAATTTTTAATTTTCTTAAAATATTTGAAGTAATTTCATAATTTTACTATAAATAGATATTGTTGCCTATATATATATATATATATAAATAAAATGTGTTGCTGGTATTTTTACTATAATAATGTACTTTTTAAACTTTCATTGTTTTGTTTTTGTTTGGGAGTTCACCATATGCCCAGAGATGGGACCCTAACAGATGCTACTACCTCCGGTCAGAAAGGACCTGGGAACGACAGCAATTAACAGGTGGTTCCATGCACCTCAAAACCTCCAATCTCCGAATTGGAGGCCTTGCTGCTGGATGTAATTTATCATCATACCCAGGACTAAAGATGACAGGTTCAAATCAAGTGGTGAAAACTACAAAACCAATAACTAGTCTCTTTTTAAAAGGAGATCAACAAGGAAAATTAAATGAAATGGAAAACAGGAAAAAAAAAAAAAATAAAAGTTTTTCAACCATTACTGCTATATACCAATGACTGCTATGCTACAATTGATAGATCTGACAAATGGGTCTATGGTTGGAGAGCTACTGGCAGAAATCCTTACAGGTTAAAGCATCAACAAGATGTGATATTTTAGGGTGGGATCATGGTGATTTTCAGATGGTGTTCAGGACAGTTCAAACATTTTTTTTTTAAAAGACAAATGTGAACTCATGGTTCAAGAAGCTGAACACTTTCAGAAAGTGTATTTTTTTTTTTATGCATGACAATGCTCCATCATATTTGTTAAAGAAAACTAGTGTATATCTGAATAAAATAGGTTTCAAAAACACCTGTTTAAGGATTTTTTTGATTTGATGGGTTTTTGGCATATTGATATATCCCGGAAAGGGATATATTTGTTCAAAGTAGCAAAGTGGTTTTGGACTACTGTAAACAATCTAGCAGGTAACTCTAATGGACTGGTCCTCGTCGTAGTGGTAGGCAATAGGCATTCCCCATGTACCTCCACATCAGTCTGTATTTATGGCTGACACCAGTCAATCATATTACTGTGAGGGGGAACCCAGGTGTATGCATATTCATTACATCACATATCGACTCTATGGGCCATTTAATACCAAATCTCATTTATACATATATATGTATGATTTGTACATGAATGGTTTATACATACATAGTTTTTCTTTTTTGTTTGGTGAGCACTACATTTTTATCAACATATCAACCTCAAGTTTCCACATCTTTTGATATCGCCCCACCACCTTCAGAAATCCAAAAATATTATTTGGATCAACCAGTTCAAATAGGTCTTGCAGGTTGATGACCTGGTAATATTTGAGATGAATTTCATAAAAATCAATACACTTCACCGGTATGTGTTCAACTGTAAGTGGTTCTTTGAATCATACACAGAATGGACGTTCCTCTCCTTTAAGCAAATGTGAGTGCATTATATATGTGAGGCCTATGCAGAGTCGAGCAAAGGTTACTTCCTTCTTTTCTCACTTTTCTGTAATTCTAGTCAGTCTTGATCATTGGTTGAATCTTTTTTTTTTTTTTTTTAATAAGATTTTTTTTAAAACTGTTTATCAACCCTTCATGGATTATTTAAAGCTAAACATTTTTAGATTGTAAATTTTTTTTTTTTTTTTCACATGTGAAAATTGCAGTAACAATTTTGGGGGTGGATAATTATTTTTCCAGATACAACTATTTAACCCATAGATAGGGAGGGAAAAATTGATTCATACCTTTCCCAAGGATATTTGCAAACAAGTGTATGCAACAAATTTGACTGGAATTCAAACTGATCTCCAATTACTTATCCCAAGCTGCTATCCATTCCACCACCTGCACCTCCACATGGTTGATAAAGTAGCTGGCTTGTTTACATGACCTTAACCCAAGTGAAAACTCAAAGTATTCTGAAGAAAAAGATTTTCCTTGATAGACGGCAATTTAACAGCAAAGATAAATTTGGGAATGCTATTATATTTGTGTTTCATATGAAGAAACTCAACATCTCACAAAATCAATGGATGAATGACTGAAAATTTATTTCAGAACATGGAGCAGACATTTTACCTTAACACTGTCTTTATAACTCATCTTTAGAATAACACTGTTTCCGAAATCTTATTAAAAATAATTGTCTTTGTAAATGTTTTACACACATTCTGTATTTATAAATTTTAACTGCAAAAATGTTTCTTGCAGTTTCAGTAAGCTAATAATGTGAAAGTGAGAAAATCTGATGCGTCAGTCGTTCACTTTTGAACCGACTGCTTGGTTGAACTCTCTTCCTACAGACGGGAGGAACCTGAAGGAGGCTACGCCGAAGGGCGGAGTCTCCTTCGGGGGAGGTAAAACCGGCCCTGAACCCGTTTATACGGGTTCAATGGGCATATTTTTGGCCGAGCCCACGGGCTCGGAATGCCCACGTTAAAAAGGCCTTATGCCACATGACCCCCTCGTGGGGGGGGGGGGACAATATCGTGAGAAAATCTGAAAATTCATTAAACTATTTCCACATTTTGAGAGTGACATGTTGCCTACTATAATTTATACACATGTGAAATATCTTACACACTAACAGCACAAGTATTAATGTGTTAATGTGAATCCCTTCCTTAGGATAATCATGACTCATAAAATTAGACATTATATATTGTTTGCATCTATGGTTGATTTTTTTTTAAGTCCTTTCACTCCAAGCAAGAAGATAAAAGCCCCTAAAATGCAAGGGGTTACTAAAAGTGAGGAGAGAGAAAAAAAAAGAGTAGAAATACAGGTCTGCAATTGCCGAACACCTTATAAAAACAAGACTGTGCATCATCCTTCCAAGAGGACATGATCCATTTTATATGGATTATATTTCAATTATCATTTAAAAGTCCTTGAAATTATTTTCATTAAATCAAGACAACCTTCCTATACATGCAGAAGGAATTTTGGACTGAATTTGATTTGTTTACAAAAATATAACTGTCTCAATATATTATTGATAGGCATGCATTTTCTTTTGGGTTTCTCAGCTTCAGTCACTTTCTTACTGCAGTAATGTAGCTTCTATAAAGATTTTCAAGGTAATTGTTCTGATGCGCTTTCCTCTTTGTTACCTAGACTTTATGAATTTAAGAGTAGTACTAGATTGGCAACAAGGTCTGATTGTTTCCCAGTTGAATTGGGAAGATTTAACAAATTTCTTGGTTAGCAGTTCCTTTTCTCACATTTATCACCAGTAGAACTTTTCTGGCTACAAAAATTTTAAATGCAATGACTATTGTCATCTAGCAACTTCTGGATTCCTCTTATTATTCTCACTCCTTGAGGTTTTCTTTTTCTTTCACATTTGTATCTTAGTGGTTTTATTGCGTTGCTTGAAAAAAAAAAAAAAAAAAAAAAAAAAAAATTATTGCTCATCAGAACTTGAGAACAATTTTTTACCAGTTAGTTCATTCTATATAATTTTTTTTTTTTTTTCTTGTTCCAAATATCTTATTGTCAACTACCATAGTTGTTTTGCCTTCTGTCTCCTCTTAACTGTTTACATTGCTTTAAAAGAAACAAAAAAGTACAAATCGATTCCAAAAGCATGCAAGAACCAACAGAGTATGCCTAAACAATTTGTGTTAAGTAACATACAAAATATTTCCTATCAAAAGAAAGTAAATTAAGCATAGTCTAGCTTGGTTGCTACACATGAACGGATGTTTTAAATATTTAAGAATAAAAATTTTTGTGTAGATGTTCAGGATTCTCATATACAAATGTTTAAATATTTTTAATTGACAGTTGGGCAGTAAAGGAAATTGAGAAGAAAGAACGTATAGTTGTCAGCAAAAGGAACAGGATGTGAATTATGATTTGGAGGCATATGAAAAATATGAAGCAAATATGAAAATTTAAATATCCGAGAAGTGTTTTAACAGAGGATAAAAATGTGACAACAAACTCCAAAGGTGCATTGGAATAGTCAAAGATGGCTTTCAAAAGACAAGCTAAGAATTAAGAAAGAGGAAAATTTTATTAGAAACAAAAAGAGTGCTGCACTATTATATAATATCAGTCCTCCTCTATGACAGTGAATACTGGACAATCTCTTCACAAATGAAGTGACATGAGACAATAGAAAAGTATACCAAGAACACCATGGACTGAAAATGTGAGTAACAAGGTTTTAAAGAAAATGGAAACAAAAAAAAAAAAAGACACATACTTAAAACCAAAAAGAGAGTTGAAATTTTTAGGTCAAATAATGAAAGACAGCTTTGAGATTTTGACACTCATGGGATATAATAAAACAAAGACAGAGGAAAACTGCAAATGTCCTACCTAACAGGTTTGTGTAAATGGCTCAGAACAGAGATTAGAAGGGATAGCAAAAAATAAACCTAAGAATTGACAGTTGGATGGTTACAAGAAATTGACTATGAACAGTAAAACAGAGCAAGCATATAAAATTGACTGTTAATCTGAATTAATCAAATGTAATACTGAACAAAAACCTTTATGGTATTTTTCAATAAGGCTCTTACTAAAATGCACGAGTTATGTTATTGATTTTTGTAACAGAATTGGCATAATTGATTTTTGTCCCGCCCTTCATTAGTTTGCATGACCATTATACCCTGCCAATACCTCATAAATAATGGACTATTCAAGTTTTTATCACATAGAAAGACAAGACATATCATCATTTCAATGAAATCATAATGGACTATTCCATTTTGTTTGTGTAAGACAAAAGGGCATCAATGATGCTACTTGATTTCAGTCAGAAAATGAAAGGAAAGATAGAAGTGTTTAACGGCCGTTTCAATGAAATGGAAAAAATTGTGAATTTCAAATCTTTTCATTTGTACCTCCTGACTATAAAAAAAAAAAAAATCTACCAAAATTCATATCTATGATTGCTATTGCAATATTTTGTTAAAGTTGTTAAGCTCAAATATTTAATGATGCAATAGGGGGAATTTGGAATTTTTACAGAAGTTTTGTTGTAGAACTTGTCATGAGCTTCTTCAATCATTAACTGAAGATTTAAGATTCATCAGAAATTTCAAATGGGAAATCTGAAATTTTCATTGGTTAAAACTAGTTAATAAGGATAAAAATGTTGAGAACTGTAAGAGCTCTAAAGTAATTATGGCTAACAAACAGAGAAACTCTTTGTCTAAAATATGGAATGGAGCCTTGGTGATAAGATCTGGATATCTGGCATCAAGTCTCCAGGTATTTCTAGAGGTACTCGAGACAACTGAAAACTAATTTGATTCAGGGAATCTACATTACAACTTACATCAAATAATTTTGGCTCTTTGAGCCATAATTCTTCCCATTGGTCCTGAGCTTTCAGCTTAAGCATCTCTGTAACATTAAGTTTGAAACACAGTTCTGCAAATTCTTCTTTCAATTTTGACATGATGCTGTCTCCTTGGAAAGTCCCATTGCTTTGAGATGATTCAGGGTATCTAGACAAAAGAAAAAAATTCTGAATAAAAAGAAAATATCAGAGAAAAGATATGGAGATCTTGTAAAAAGGTTATATTAATTATTGCACGTATTCACATTATTCAGACTATTGTCCTCATCTTTGTCGCCATATTGTGTTTCGGCCAAGGATACATGGCACAGTGGATAAAGGTGTTGGTTAGATCCAGTGACAGGACAAAGAGTGTGAGTTCAATACCTGGTTAAGGCAGTGGAGAACTTAGAGAGGGAAATTAACAGGAGATAACTGATAACTGACATCCATTAGACATAGCACGTGGAACTAGAACAGTCTACCCCAGTGAGTGAAATAAAAGGTTAAGTTCGACATTCCAACCACCTGAAAAAGGCCGGAGCGTACAACGGCCGAAACGTTGTAATAAATATGGCGACAAAGATGAGGATAATAGTCCGAATAATGTAAATAATGTGTACATAATACCTCATCTCAGAAATATAGACAGATGCTGCACGTATTCAGTATCAAGATTAAGGTATCTAAGTTTCATTCCTGAAAATAACTTTTTCTAGCTCACTAGCACTTACTCTACTGGTATAAAATTTATTCAGACAGGCCTTGTATGTTAGGGGTCAGATGTCCAAAAAATAAATTTAAAAAAATGAAGTCTATTATCACCTTTGAGTTCTTTAATATTTTTAGGAACTTTTAAATTTAAAATTCTCTTCGTTACCGAAATTCCCTAATTTTTTTGTGAAAATATTAGAGACGCTAAGTGTTTTAAGAAAAACACTTATTTTTATTCTTGATAGATCCAGACTTAAAGAATCTTTGCAAGTAGTCACGTATTGGGGGATTTTTTGCGTATTTAATTGTCAGTCACAAGCTAACTGACATAAGATTTTTTTTCTAAATGTTAGAATTTATAAATAAATAAAATAACGGTAATTCAATACATGTTTCCCGAAATAAATTTTACTTATAGTCTTTCTCCAGAGTAATTTAAAAAATAAGATCCCATTATTCAAAGATTTCCTTTCAAGATAAGTTATTTGGAGCGGAAATTCTTAAAAAATAAATAAATAAATAAATAAAATAAAAAATACAGCAAGACATTTACAGCCAACGCTCAATATTTTTTTTTAAAGTTAAATATCAACATATTTTTTAAGGTAAAAATAACTGAATAGAAATTAACAACTTCGTGTGAAATGAAAGATTATATTTACTAACAGCTTATTTTGACAACAGAAGAAATTTTAAAGGGCAATATTCGTAATAAATATTCCAAGGAGGGCCTAGTTGTTGTACATTACAACAATCGTACACAACACAGTAACACAGTTATACAAAAAAAAAAGATTTAAATATTAAATAAGAATTACATTAAGAAAATTAAGGTTTCATTTTAATGCCAAAATAAACGAAGCAAATCTTATTCAACAGTATATTTGTATACATACTGTAAGATATTAATTAACATTTAGCTACTATCCGATCGAAACCATCCTTAAAACTTTACGCAACAGAACACAGTAGTAGCAGTATATAGTAATAAATGTAGGAAACTTTTGTATTCACGTAAAAGAAAAAAGATTCATGCATCTGAAAGTATTCACTTTCCTTATTTTTGCGAAATCTAAAAATATGGAAATCATTAAGAGAGGGGAAAAGATAGCACTTCACGTTAATTGTTTTGTTAGTGGAACAAAAAAGAAAAACGTAAACTTCAGGCTTTTTGGCTACCAATGTTTGTGTTCACTTTTAGAACATTTACAAAGGATAATCTAACATTTAGATAAACCATTTAACAATTATTTTATAAACAGACTTATTTAATTCGCTATTTAAGATAATTTAAAGTAAAAATCCTTTTTTTTCCCGGTTTTATCGATTCCTTCGTCATTAAAGAAATCTAAAGTACGAACAGAATTAGTGCAATAAAGGAAGAATTGTTTTAATGAACCCAAGAATTACAGTCACAGTTTCAAATACTGAGAAAAGTGGATGTTAAATTACAATATATTACATATAGAATAATTTCATCAAGAGAAGAGGGATCACTTTATAATAAAACGTTATAATAAACCTGATCCCCCACTTGATGAAGCAACAATCAAATACTTACATATCAGATTTAGAGTCATTCGGGAAGGTAGAAAAAACAACGTTATTATCAAATGAAGATGAAGACGGCTTCTGAAGTTTATTTTTATCTTCTTGGAAAACTTCAGATGAGTTTTTTCGTTTCCGATTAGCCTCTCCCTTTGGTTGCTTTGGCGGCGCCATTAGAAACAATTTTTGGTAGACTTGACGAGTAAAAAAAAAAAAAAAAAATGTTGAACTTTTTCACCTCTGCGAAGTCTTTATCTCAGTTCTTTTCTAATTTTTGACTGGACTTTCAGTAAACTGAAAGACAAAAAAACCCAAAAAGGCGGCAGTTAAAAACAAACAACTAAAAAAAAAAATGTTATTTGTGCCTAAAAAGAAGAGGTGTTACTAGGTCGTCTCTCTTTCACTGATGATGATGGCGGCAGCAAGAAAGACGAAAGAAAAAAAAAGCAGAAAACGAAGTCAAGCTAGAAAATACCTAAATTATTTGGACAAAAAATATTACAAGAAATATTTCTTTAAATCTATATGCACACCACTAGTGGGAAATATCAAAAGCATGCCTTAAAAATAAAGACCGTAAAAAGAGAGAAAAATGTCTTTGTGACGAATACTGCACACGCACTAACATTTATTTCCTTTTTCCCCCGTTTAAGTTACGTTGGTCGGAAGACAGAATATGTTAAGAAAAATATTCTGGAGATAATATAAAAAGGTTGCTTTTTTTTTTTAAATAAATAAGTCCCTAGATTAGGAAAAATATGAGTGAAAGGTTTTGTCTTTCTCAGCTCAGCTGGTTGATGACGACCGAGTGATCATACTTCTAAAAACCTGTGCTGTGAATTAGGGAGATTTAAAAAAAACAAAAACAAACCAAAAAAATGAAGTGTCTAATCAGGGTGGGACCCACTGATTATCCAATTCCAAAAAGTAAACACTTTGAACACTACAGAAAAAACAGTCCATCCGTTGTAAATTTCAAGCTCTTGGTACAGGGAAAGAAGCGATTGTTAATTTTTACGGATGGAATGGCAGATCGGCTTTGGTTGGATGTGACGAAAAATTTTACATCAAAATTGTGTCAGTGATTTCAGTGTTAAAAACGAAAGTATCACAAAAACCACTTGCGATTGAAATAATGAAAATTCGAAAATATAACTAAACTAAATGAATTAAATTCAATTAACACTATGTGAATTATTTCGTTTTTTTAAACGAGCAAGGACAAAGAAAGAACATTAAAAATGAAAGCTATTTGTTTTGTATTTGACAAGTGCCAACCCAAATGAATACTACAATAATTCTGATAATCGTGTAGATTTTAAAAAACAATAAGCATAAAGCGAATTCATACTATCAATAATCAGTAATAAAGATAGTTAGTAAAAATTAAATACCGTACGGCGTAAGTAAATGTGGAGAAACTAGATAATTTCGAGAATAAACAAAATCGAAGAAAAAAAAAATGTAAATTTGTAATAGATCATTTTTAAAAAGGCGTCTCGACATAGAAATTGACAATAAAACGGATTTATCTTTTAGATTTTTTTTGTATGTTGCAAAGTTGTTTTTCTCTTGCTTGTACTTCTGTTTTAGTTACAAAGGATACTTGGTGTAATGATCGGCTCTCTAAATGAGTTACAGTCAAAACATCAAGTATTACAGATCCTAGAGAAAACAGCAACGATTGTTTTTCACTGCGTGTGTACATCTGCAGTGTAAATAAAATGAAGTCTAGATTTGAAATCTAAAAATTAAAAAAAAAAGAAAAGTCAACGAGGAAGTGCGAAACCAACAATTAGCAGACATTTTCTAAACAAAGGGGGAGAAAAACTTACTGAGCAGAAAAAGTTTTGTTAAAAAGCAGTAAAACATAAAAGGGTGGGTAAACTAAGTGGTCGCTTCAGACGGTGTAGAGGCACATCAAAAGGGGGTCACAAAAAAAATAAAGAAATAAGTGTATATACTAACTTTAAACGACGCCACCGATCGCGCGAGTAATAGGCCGGCACAATTTTCCCCGCGAAAATTCCTGCAAAGTGAATGAAATTCGACGCTGATTGGTTAATCTCCGACCTTGACCTCTAGTACACGCCTACCACGTTTCTGATTGGCTGACCTTGCCCTTTCTATTTGGTGTAAGCAACCGGACGGTGAAACTGCAAACAAGTTGTTAAAGGACGGTGTTCGATGAAAGTCATTCTTTAAAAAATACATTCCATGTAAAAGGGAAACTTGTTAAATTTTCGTTACATTTTGAAAGGTGATAATGATAGTAGGTTTTGGTCTCAAAGTTAAATTATAAAACATATTTATAAATGGTGGCTTGTGCTTTTCAGCTCGGATTACCAACTTTGTCAGTTTATCATAATGGATATAAAAATATATAAATAGTAATTTTAAAATTAATTCCTGTAGATACAAAATGACATTGGTTTTCACTTTTTACCTTTCAAATTCAGTAAAGGACACAGACAGAAAAAGTTAAATAAAGATTGTCCATTCCAATAAAGGACGCTTTGCAATTCTTTCTTCACCAAAAAAGACATACACAAATAATCTAATTTATGCTTTTCTATGAAAACTAATGAGAAAGTTGTAAATATTCTTCTTTTTCTATGTGCTTTGTCCCTTAAGGACGTGTGCGATCATGGCTCTCCATAACTTCCTATCGTTCACATCCCTTAGCAGTGTTTCTTCCTTAACCAAGAATTCCTCTCCATCATCCATTCGCACACGCTCATCATGAAGGTGGCCTGCTGCCTCCCCTTATCATTCTTGCCATTGATATGCCCTGTGAGGATTAAGTTTTTCAAGCCTACCTTCCTCGTTATGTCTAAGAAATTTTGGCTCTTTCTTTCTGATTTTCTTTAAGATTTCCTCGTTGCTTACTCAAACCATTCATGGAATTCTCAGTATCCTTCTGCAGAACCACATTTCTCTTGGTTCCAGTTTCTTTTGCAACTGAGAGAAGATTGTCCAGCTTTCACTGACATGCAAGAGGATTCATATCTCATAGTAATTCAGCACTCGTCTAATAAAGTTTTCCTGTTTCTTCATATTTTGTTTAGTTTTTGAATGCATCATTCATAAATCCAATGCACATTTGGATTTCAATGTCACATTTTCCATCCTCTGTTAAAATAATTCCCAGGTATTTAAACTTTTGCACCTGTTTGATGTTGATATCACTAAATTATAGTTTGCATCTTGGACTTTTTCACTTGCTGGCAATCATACTTCTGTCTTATTCTAGTTGATAACTAAACCTTTTTACTGGCTTACTAACTTGTCTTGGAAGTCATACAGTTTTCTTTCTATGTCTGCCATCAACACAGTGACATCTGCACCTCTTTTATTGTTAAGATAATTCCCCTTGCATCAATAATAAATCCTGGCAGGATGTCCAGCTCCCTTAGTAGATCTGGAGAGAAGACTCATCCTTGTCTTATGTTTCTTTTTATTTTAATGTGCCTACTCAATTCCTCTTCTATCTGTATGCAGGCAGTTTGCTCCCAGTATGAATCCTGGTAAGGTCTTCACCCTCCTTAGGCTAGACTTGCAGTACATCAAGAGAGAAGACACATCATTGTCTTATGCTCCATTCAATGTGACTACTCAATTCCTTTTCTATCTGTATGCAAGTGGTTTGCTGCCAGTATAAATCTTGGTTGGTTCTTCAGCTCCCTTAGGCTAGACATGCAGGAGATCTGGAGAGAAGACTCACCCTTGTCATATGCTCCTTTCTATTTTAATGTGCCTACTCAATTCTTCTTCTATGTGTATACAGGCAGTTTACTCCCAGTATAAGTTCCCAGAGTCTCATCCAGGGAGGTAGACTGATCCAAACCTGTTTATGTGGGTTCTACACGGAATTTTTGTCCAAGCCTATTAAACTCAGCCTTGTGCCACATCTACCCTCGTGGGGAGCTAGTAAATATTGACTAGCTGGGATCTGTTGAGTATGACTCAGACTTACGCGAGAACTACTCGCCTTCCAATAGTAGCACTCACTACTAGATTGACTTGCCACAACCTTCTGCATAACTGTTACCTTTATTCTTATTGTACTGGTTTTGTACAATAAACCTTTACTTATTTTATCCACCTTGTTTTTCAAGTATGTAATCCTATTAATACAGAATATAACAGTTTTTAGAACTGTTCAGTTATTGCTAGCCTTGTTTTCACAAAGTCTGAGTCTGTATTACTCCGCCCAGGAATTGAATTCACAATTACTATGCCACCACATCCAAGTTTGAATACTTTAATCTCTAGGTCAATGTTCTGTGGAACAATACTGAAGCTAGAACTTGGAGACAAACCTCTGCCTACCAGCTGAAATCCTTTTCCTACTAATTCTCTTTCTTAATACAGCTGCTGAAGCCTTGCTATCAAGCTTGGCTCTCTCTGCCATAATTTCTCTTTCTTTCTTTATTAATGGCTCCCATATGATATTTATTTCTACACTGGGCTGACCAAAGAGATAATCATATCCTAACATATGTGTTGATTCTTTAAGATGTCTGCTCTTCCAGTATTCTTCTCTGTCTAAGATTAAATAAAAATTAAATTAAATCAGTTGAAAAGTTTTGGAAGATAACTCATAGTCAGGCACCTGAAGAAAGGCTAGAAGGAACAATGGCTGAAACTTTGTAGTAATAATGATAAAGATCAGGACATTAGTTTGAAGGCAAACAATATAAATAACGATAAGTGCAAACACAAGTAGGAATACCAAGTGACTTGAGTTTTATTTTGTGATTTGCACAAATCACAAAATAGACTCAACCACTGTGTAAAATTTTAAAAGGAAAACACATTTATTACATAATTATAAAAAAGTACAAATACAAAGCTTGCACAAAAATTTCCTTTTTTATGCCTATTAAAGCAGGATAACAATTTCAGATAAAAAGGATTAACCTATTTACATTATTGGGACTATTGTACTCATTCTTGTCGCCATATTTATTACAATGTTTCTGCTGTTGTACACTCCAGCCTTCTTCAGGTGGTTGGAATGTCGAACTTAACCCTTTATTTCGCTCACTGGGGTAGACTGCTCTAGTTCCACATGCCATGTTTAATGGATGTCCGCTATCAGTTATCTCCTGTTAATTCCCCTCTCCAAGTTCTCCACTGCCTTAACTGGGTATTGAACACACTCTTTGGGT